TTCTTCTTCTCCTTCGTACTCGGTCGTACGTTCGTTCGTTCGTTCGTCGGTTAGTTAATTAATTAATTTGTATGTACGTTTGTTTATTCATTCATTCATTTGTTTGTTTATTTGTTTGTTAGTTTATTTGTTTGTTTGTTTGTTTGTTTGTTTGTTGTCATTGTTACACCTAACGTACGCGTGTAACGTGTACGTTCTAATCTACTACACCCTGATGCCCCCATATGCGTTATAGTCACGGTTAAACGCTATTTTACATTTGTAATATTATTTTATATATCCGTCCCGCGCAAATTATTGCACGAGCATATTCATAACTGTTTCCTCGCAATGCATTCCTCTCTTTCTCTCTCTCTCTCTCTCTCTCTCTCTCTCTCTCTCTCTCTCTCTCTTAATCGTCTCATATATTATTCTTTTCAGAAAAATATATATTTATGTGTTCCTTTATTTATTTTCTTTGTTTCTTTTGTTTCTCTCTTTTTTTTTTTTTTTTTTTTTTATACGTACGTACGTATGTATGTATGTATATGTATGTATATATAATTATATATATATATATATATCATATATCATATATACTATTTTAAATTTATACATCGACGGATCTCAACGAAAATTGCGAAGAATTTAGTTCGGTTCTTTTTTTTTCCTCGATCCCCTTTTGTTTTTTTTTTGTTTTTTGTTTTTTTTTGTTTTTTCTTTTTTCTTTAAATTCACGAATCATAACTTTTGACATCTTTTTCTTTTTCCAACGATAATTTCCATATTTTCTTTACGTTTTATGTTCATATAATGGTAGTGGCAATGATGATGGTCTCTCTCTCTCTCTCTCTCTCTCTCTCTTCCTCTCTCTCTTTATAGATATTTCACAAAATAATATCGTTCAATCCTCTACGAAATTAAATCCCTTTGAAAAGATTTACTCGGATAAAATTCAAATTGTTCTCTATGGGCCTTAAGAAAAATTTCTGAATGATTAAATATTTGCGATAAAATATAATAAAAATTCGTCATCCAACGAGAAAGTAAATAATCAATTAAAATTAAGTAAGTAAATAGATAAATAGGTACATTACATATACCTTTCTTAATAGATACATAAGTTTTATCCTTCACATGTGTTACATGATATTTGGATAGAGAGAAAGAGAAAGAGAGAGAGAGAGAGAGAGAGAGAGAGAGAGAGAGAGAGAGAGAGAGACAGAGAGAAAGAGAGAAAGAGAGATAGAAAGAAAAAGAAAAGAAAAATAAATAAAACAACGAAAGCGTACAATTTCATTGATCTGTTCGATTGAACTTAATAACATTTTACAGAGACATCGATTCTCTTGTTTTTCATGAATTTAATAATAAAATATTACGTACGAATATTGAGAAAGAGAAAAAGATGCAAGCACGTCGTCAATCGTTGAAACAAAAAAGAAAAGGAAAATATCCATGATTCTATCGTGAATTCACGCGTTACTTTTTATTTTATCATTTAATGATTTCATCCTCCCCCTTTCGTTCATTTCACGGAATCATCGAGATTCTCTTGCTCGCCTGTATATTTCTCTTTCTCTTTCTCTCTCTCTCTCTCTCTCTCTCTCTCTCTCTCTCTCTCTCTCTCTCTCTCTCTGCCTTATATATATAGTTGTTCCTATTCCTTTCTTTCTTTCCTTTTTTTTTTTTTTTTATTATCATCGTATAAGTGCTCGGACAATATTTACGAAAATGTCTCCGCGCTAATCTTTCTCGATCCTCGTCGGATTATAACGAAATAAAAGATCGTAATATAATGTACAATGCTAATTTACAAAGCTGGCTCTCATTAATGTCTCTCTCCCTCTCCCTCTCACTCTTTCATATTAATCCAACTTCACGTCGTGCCCTTTTTCACATTCTCTCTCTCTCTCTCTCTCTCTCTCTTATTTCTTGTTATGTACATAATAAAACCATGCTCTAACTCATTTCATATTTCTTTCGAAATGGATTCTTTCACTCTATCAGCTTTTTCCTTCAGCATTTTTCTCTCTCTCTCTCTCTCTCTCTCTCTCTCTCTCTTTCTCTCTTTTTCACTTTCACGCACGCATACACGCAAATACACACATACACATACATACATAAACGCGCGCGTATTCTCTCTCTCTCTCTCTCTCTCTCTCTCTTTCTCTCTCAGGCGCGCGCGCATCGTCCTTAAAAATTATATCGCATGGCATTTATTATCGTATACGCACTATATGTATATCGTATTGAACATTACATTATTCTGTTCCTTCAAGCTGCTTCCTTCCTTTTTTCCTTTCTTCTTTCGTTCTTTCATCCCTTCATTCTCTTCCTTACTTTATATAATTTGATCGATCGGGATCAGACATTTTAATACAAATATAATTAATTTTATGTTAGAAGGAACGATCCATATTTATAATAATAGAAGAAGAAGAAGAACGTGTTTAACTATTTATCGTCTGTCGAAATTATGCGAAAAGAAATATACTTTCAGCATTATTGATTATATATATATATATAATCAATACTGATTCATATTTAATTAATTGATTTATTTATTTTTTTTTTTTCGATAATAATTCATGGGATTACGTTAAGGAGGAAGCAGCCTAATATGTCTCATGTAGTGAATTATAATGCAGAAAAGAGATTGGTTATCATTTAGGAGATTTATTCTCTCTCTCACTCTATTTCTTACTCTCTCTCTCTCTCTCTCTCTCTCTCTTCCTCTCTTTTTTTTTTCGTCTCTTAATTAGTTTAAACGCTCTGTCCTAACATATTTTATTCTTTGATGAAACAAACAAAAAATTATATACATACATATACATATATATATATATATATATATATATATATATATATATATAATGTGAATAGAAAGGATCCAGAAAATACAAGTTGATCAACTGCAAGCACATCACATATCTCTCTCTCTCTCTCTCTCTCTCTCTCTTTCATATTTTTATTTTCACCCATACATTCTCTCTCTCTCTCTCCCCCCCCTTTCTTTCTGTTTTTTCTAATTTCTCATTTCGAAATTCAATTTCCATGTTGTATTTACTCGCCGTGCCCTCAAACGCATCTCGAAGCGTTTCGAAGACTATTATTTCGTCTGTCTTTACAATCGCGTTTAAAATTATTGTATAATAATTTTTTACGAATTAATCAATAATCATTAGAATATATATAATTATATTCCTTCGCGTATGTTTGTGTATGTATGTGTGTGTTGTGTGTCTATATATATATATATATATATATATATATATATATATACATGTATATATATATATATATACATATACATGTGACTCGTTTGACCCAGAGTTCAAGGTTTATTTTAGAGTTCAAGTTCAATGAACATTCGAACGTCCATCTTGTTTTTATTTTCTTCTTTCTCTCTCTCTCTCTCTCTCTCTCTTTCTGTCTCTCATTTTTCATCTTTTGTTTTTTCTTTCTTTCATTCATTATTCTCAGCTAACCACGAGATATCACACGATATCAAATAGTCCAACAGTTTGATTTAGTGATTATCATATCAGTGAGAGAAGAAGAAATGCAAGAGGGAAGTGAGGAATAGTAAAGGAAAAAATTAATGAAATTAATGGACTCTGATGGAACTCGTGGTTTGGCAGTCAGCCATTTTGACTCTGGGCAGAATACTTTTACTTATTTAATTTTCTTTATTTAATTACTTACTTACACGATCGAATGTCGATTCATTTTTATATTCTTCTTGTTATCTTTCTCTCTTTCTTTCCTTCTTTAATTTATTATTCTTATTATTTTTATTATTATTATTATTACTATTTCCTTTCTTTCTTTTTTTTTTTTTATTTTATTTTTATAATACTCGTATCTCGTTCGTCCCAATTTCAATAATAATTCTTTCCTTATCTATCATATATCCGTACGTAACCCCACTCATGATTATTTATAATATATAAACCGCTTGTGTTGCGTTTACCATCATTTTTCTTCTCTCTCTCTCTCTCTCTCTCTCTTTTATCTTTTTTTTTTTTAACACGGTTCACTCGCTCTTTCATTCTTTTACGTATTTGTGTATGCGCACGTGTATTCGTGTGTTAATTCCATGTGAACGTGTCGTTTAAATAATAAGTATATATCTGATTTCATTTATGTATTTACGTTTGTTGTGTACGTGTCCTATGCAACTTAGCGCATATTTTAATTAATAATGTATATATATATATATATATATATATATATATTTATATATATATATAAATATATATATATATATAAAGATATATTATATATGTATATATATATAAAACGATTCCAAATAGAAATAATGTTTTTTATTACCAATTATTTTATCGGGTCGGGTTTAAAAAAACTCCCCGTAATTAATTTCTTTACTTTACTTTTCTTCTTCTTTTTTTTTTTTTTTTTTTTTCATCATCTTCCTCTCATCTTTCTCTTGTTCTTCCTTTTCTTTCTCATTTTCATCATCTAAAAACTTATCAACAATATAATTCAGTCTAATACATTCCAAAAGCACCAATTTGTGTAATTAATTTTCTTTTTTTTTTCATTTTCCCTTTTTCTTCACGTTTTTTTTTTTTTCTTTCTAAATCTTTTTCGCTCTCGTCTACCAAATAATTAATTTCGAACCATTTTTTTTTTGCTTCAGTTCCTCCCATTCTCTCTCCCCAACCTTTCTCCCCATCCCGGTCGAGATTTCATCACACCGTGACCACAATTTTGCTAATCGTTCAGTCGTATTCCAAAAAAAAAAAAAAAAAAAAAGAAAGAAAAAAGTGTATATATATACATATATATAAAGAGTAAAAAAAAAAAAATAAAAAAGAAAATAAAAAAAGGAATACTCGTACCTTCGCTCAGTCGAACGAATTTTCTTTCATACAAAATATCTTCCCCGTTCCCGTAATACGAATTGTAATATATATATATATATTATCCTAATATCGCTTATGCGCGCGGCGCTCGAATAAAAATAATATAAACCGCACACATATTTCTTTTTTTCTTTCTTCTTTTTTTTTTTTTTTTTAATCGCGTTTACCAACGATAAGAATCCGAATCACACATTTGTTTAACAATAATATCGAATTTCGTAGATAATTAATATATATATATATATACTATATATAATGTTTATGATTATAATCATAATTATGTTTGTGTATCTGTGTGTATGTGTATCTGTATATGCGTGTTTGTGTGTAATATATGTTAAAAATCGTATAATTACAGATATAATATCTTAATACGATAGGTGAGACGCGATTTATTCCCATTTTTCATTTTTGTCTCGTTTCTTTTTTTCCTTTTCTTTCCGCTCTTTTCACGCTACTCGTTCTCCCCCAACTAACCCCCTCCCCCGTCCGTGTGTATTTTTCAAATGATTTTCTTTTCTTTTTTTTTTTTTTTTTTTTCACATAATAGTGTTTTGTCGTCTTATCCGTGTTTTTGAAATAGGCGCACGCATTGGTTTGGTTTTTATCTTCCTCTGTTTTGTCCATTTTTTCCCTTTTTCTTCTTTTTGTTTTCTTTCTTGTTTCTTTTTTAAACCCTCGTGTTCCGTGTTAATGTACGCAGTTAGTATTTCTTTTTTTTTTTTTCTTTTTTATACTTCATCTCTTTTTACTTTTTTTGCTTTTATTATCATTATTATTATTATTATTGTACAACACATTCGTGTGTCTATGTGTGTGTCTGTTTATTTGTATACAAGAGGCTCGCGGAATAATACTCGCAGATCGCTGCTGCATAAACGAATATTTGTGTGTGTGTGTGTGTGCTCGCGTGCTTGAGTGCGCTCCATGTAATGCAAGTATAAACGTGAATTGTTAAATAACAACAGTAGTAGTAGTAGTAGTAGTAGTATTAGTAGTAGTAGTAGTAGTAGTAGTAGTAGTAGTGTAGTAGTAGTAGTAGTAGTAGTAGTGTAGTAGTAGTAGTAATAGTAGTAGTAATAATAGTAACAGTAATAGTAATAGTAGTAGTAATAGTAGTAGCTGTAGTAGTAGTAGTAATAGTAATAGTAGTAATAGTAGTAATAGTAGTTGTGTAGTAAACCGATCTTGCGTACACAACCGACGAGGGCAGGTCTCACGTTGAAATTTGTTTTAAAAAATAAGAAAGAAAATAAAAAAAAAAATAAAAAAAATAAAATAAAATTATAAACGATCATTTGTCTTCCTTTAATATTCTTTATATCGGCTTTTTCCACGTCCCCCGATTTTTATCATAATTTAATATTACACGTTAAACATATATATATATATATATATATATATATATATATATATATATACTATTTTTTTTTCTTTTATTCTTTTTTACTTCATTAAAAATTTTTCTTCCCTATAGAAGCAATAGATTAAAATTCCATTTAATTAAATCGATCTCTATGTATATATGTATGTTGTATGTATGTATGTATGTATGTATGTATGTATGTATGTATATATATTTTATACCAATGAAGAATATAATCGTTTTAGAAAATTCACGTGCATCGTAAAATATCTCTGACTTGTTTATTTCATCTGGATCAATCTAATCTCGATCGAATTTTAATTAACCGATAGATCATAAGCTTCTAC